TCAAATTGGGAGGTGACTGTTCTAACACGGGAGGGGCGGGGGGGTAGGTGGTAAATGAAGCATTTTATCGATAAATTTAACATGAGACCTGAACTTGAGTTTCCTTTTGCTGTTCCAAACCACAAGAAATTTTAAATTAAGAAATTATTACAAACTTTGTCTTGAGAGGTCTTTGCATTCCATGCATCAAATTTCATTGAATGTTATTTATGTATATCAAATGGCAGGCGTTTTGGTAGTTATCATTAGCCCTGGAGCTGACTTCGGGGCTTCATGAAGAGGAGAAAGGACATCAAAGTGACAAAAAGTCGAGATGGGAGACAGAATAATGATTCACAGAGGTAAAAGAGACAGACAGACAGACACAAAGGCATAAAAAAGGTAAGATGAGTACTGTGGAAGGGGTCGAATATGAAAATAGTCGGGCCATAGAAATTTGAAGTCAGAAGTCAACTGCCGATCAATAGACTTTTTTGCCATATAAGTATACGTTGCCCAGGGTGCACCACGTGGAGGTAAGTCTATTGCGCACCCCCAATTTCATTGAATGTCAGTGACTTATAAGGCTCTTGAGTTATTAAGTGCCCGGATAATGAAAACGATGATTTAAACTTACTCGACTTTCGAAACGCCAAATTTTGCTTTAATGCTCAACGAAACTCTATTCTTGATAAGTTATCGAAAACTTTTCCCGTTTCTATTGTATTCGTTCTTAAGATTGTTAATACAAGGTTAAGCAAAACAAGGATTTGTTTACATCCAGTGGCTAAACAACGGTTTCACTAGGATCAATTGGTCTGCTAGTCTTGTTTATGGTCAATTTGGCATGACGAAGAAGGTGGCTTGTTTATTTCCAGTTTCCATCTGTAAAAGGCTTCGATGTCTCATTTATATTTCATTAACAGCGCAGTAGAAATAAACTAAGATGTCAATTTGAAAATGGCTATTTTAAATTTGCTTTCTCATTAGATAGTAAATAGTTGGATATGATTCACCATTAATAAGATGTTCCGGCACCTTGTTAATATCTGGAATCATCTTACTGGCTCCTTCCAGACACCCCACCATTAACGGCTAGTGCCATGACCTCGATATACTCAGGCACAGACTGATATTACTGTCACAGTCCAGATAGACTCAAGCGTACAAACCAAGTGCCTATGGACTCCAAGTTAACTTCATACAACGCTGCCTTTCCAAATCCTCAAACTTATAAATGCTCGCGACATCGTCTCCCTTTCCTGCAGTCAGCTTCTACTCTCCTGAAATTTCACTTCAGGTCCTGGTAGCTGATTCTTAAATCTGGCTTCTACATCTAGTTTGCGGATCCAGAAGTTACTCCTACCCTTTTTTCCGCTTTTACAACAGTCTCTAATATTTTGAGGCAACTGATATTGAGTTTTTGCCTTTCAATGTTTATCGGTCCACAACCAGTCAATACTCCACTTGGCCTTCCACTTCCTTGAACGTAACTAACTTTTCACCAATTCGGAGTTCGTTTCAGTCATGCCAGTATTCTTTATTTATTTGAATTACAAGCAATATTCATAAAAACCAATTTTCCTATTTGGATCCGAAATGCTAGAAATTCTTAGCAACACTACATTTAGAAAATAACCTTTTGTAGTACTATTTCGTTGCGTGACCGATTGAGACATTTGCCATCAACGTGGTAACTTCTGGTTGCCCTTCTTTTAATTAATTTCCATTTGAATTTATTCACATTTGACCTTTATATATATATATATATAAGTTTCCTTAATTTTCAGCCACGTTACGTCAAATATATTATTAGTATTATTATTTCAAATGGCAGACGTTTTGAATAGTTATCATTAGCCCTTTAGCTGACTTCGGGCTTCACAGAGGGAGAAACATCAAAGTGAGAAAAATTCGAGAGGGGGACAGAATAATGATTCACAGATGTAAAAGAGGCAGACAGATACAAAGGTGGAAAAAGGTGAGGTGTGTACTGTGAAGTAATTGAATATGACAAACAGTGGGGTGATGGCAGTTTGAAGTCAGAAGTCAACTGTCGATTAATAGGCTTTTTTGTCTTATGAGTATACGTTGCCCAGGCTGCACCACGTGGGGGTAAGTCTATCGCACACCCCATAAACAAGAATATAGCTTTTAGAGATAGCAATAAACCAATCAGGTGTGCGCGTAAGCACGAGCGTATTTAATATTAGTGCAGTAGGTGATGACCGCATACTGTCAGTAGCAGACGACTAAGCACTCCGAGTGCATGCTGCAACGTCGTATTCCGACTCTTCCATCAAGGGATTCCACTTTCTTTCGCAACTTCTCAAGTAAGTTCGCTGGTTATTTAACTTTTTGCTTACCTTCGCCTACATGCACAAGCCCTATTCGATTTTGCCTTCAACAGGGCTGGAGAAGTAGATAGATTTCACTTGAGCTATTTATAAGTCTCCATTCAAAATACAAAAGTATTAATTTACATGGATTTTAATTATTCCATTTCTTCATTAACAAACATTCGGTTCTAGTATCAATATGACATTATGAAATATTATTTATGCTTATTTCTAGCAAAATTTTCACTTTTTAATTATATTTAATAAGCATTGATAGATCGTTTTTGGTAAAAGATATTTCTCTAAAGTGGTAGTTGTAGATACTTTAGATAAAAATTGTTTGGAATCTTCTCGAATGCTAGTGTGGGTCATTTTTAGGAAACTTTTTCACAGCTAATTATCTGCGTAGCCATCAATGCTTTAAAAATATTTCATCCTCAATTGAAATGTCGAATACAAGTGATTGAAGATAAATTTCAACAAAACAGCTAATTAACCAATTAATTAATGAGAAATTATTGACAAATTCTTGAAAACAAACTCCAAATTTTAATAGCAGTTTGGCAAGTTATCAAAAGCAAAGTACTGTCGTGCCCTTGACTTAAGGAAAGAACTTTATTATGAGTTACTTTAGCATAGCTTTTATTCCTATCGGAAATTGAATAGAGAACTCATTGAATGCATTGCTTGGTTCAGTAAAGTATGATAACGAAGATTTAAAAGACTCAGGAAATAATTTGGGAGTGACATAGGGGTGGCTCATTTTGACTGGTGTAGCCGTTTATCTCAAAATCTCTTCTTAATGTAATTGATAATATCAACACTTTGATTACTTCCCACGCATATCCATAAATCGAATACATTAAATAATTATTCATTTAAATGAGTTAACAGGTTATATTATTCGACGGTAACTTAGCAAGATTCACTTGTGTTACCATGAGTGTGAAATTCATTAAAGTAAATACTGTTATTGAAGAGATCTAAAAACTTTAGTTAATGGGGTTTACTATTACCATATCTATCGTCCCATTTGACTGTACTGACTTTCGTAAATAAAGCATCTTTCGATAAATTGATAAACGATCCAATCTCACTTCTAATTTGCTTATCTTCTTGTTAATCAAAATGATAATTAAAGTGTAAAAAACCCCAATCATCAGCTTTGCTGTGGTCAAAAAATGATCTATAGTACAGAACTCTAAAATTGGCATATGAAACCATTAAGAAATTAGTCAGTTTTAGCTAAATCTACCTATTAAATCTTAGAACAGGCATGGCCTTAGTATTCTTCTTGTCATATAATGAGAGAAATTTAATTGTTAATGCACTCTGCTAGTTTAATTCACACACTGTTTTGAAATATCTGTAGCAGATGAATGTGTGTTGGTACAAACTCGTTTTTAGTGCAATTGCCCGATAAAGTATTGCAACGGGCAATGAATATTGAAGTGTGCCATTAACAAAATCAGGCAAATTTCGATTAGTTGTGTAAGACTAATTTATCGTTTTTGTTATGTTTATGTTTATCTCTTGCATGTTCGTTGCCTAATAAAATCTCAGAGATGTATTCTGTTTGGACTCAGAAAATATGGCCGTATATGCCAAGGTACCGCGATCGAAAGTCAGTAGCAATGATAATTCTGGTCTAAAACTTAATTTTTGGAGAGGAGATAGTTAGCACTTCCATTAAAGGGAGCAGAAAATATTGGTATTCTGGAAGTAAACCTAAATAGTGCTCCCCATTAGCCAATTACTTGAATCGGTAGTACTGCCATTCTGTCCTGAATTTCATATTGTTACTGAGGCGTGTATAATCAAACGACATAATTTATCACTGATGACAACACTCTCATCCTTAAGCGGTATTTAAGTGACAACTTGAATTTTCAAGATTAGCACATGTTTAACGATAATCCAATTAATGCTTTATACTCCGCATTAAAGGATTAAAGTACAAATGGATCTTTATGATGGTATCCCTTCAAACATGGTAGACATGACAATTCAGTCATTCAAAATGCTCCTTCTACTTTTCTAGATTTTAAATTTGATGCCACAAGAAACGAGAGTGTCCTATGATTGTCGAATTTACGTTCGTGTAGACGTTTTAATTGAGAGGTACTTCAGTATCTTCTCATAGCCAACTAGTCCTTAATTAATTAGGAAATTATTTGCAATATGACAGAGCCCACAGGATTTGATTCCTTTGTAAATTTCCATGTGTCTGTTTGATTGGCATTCCTTTATTCCAGTTCTTTGTCAGTTCAAGACACTTTGAATTTGAATTCAGCCGAATTTCATTTAAAGCTTTCTTATAGTTTTGGAGTAGCACATTTTCTTCATAAATTGAACAGAATAAAATGGTTTTACTTCGAAAATATATGTAAGAGGAATGATTAGCATCACGTTGAAGGCTATGTGGGAACGGAATCTGGCAAAATCAGTAAGGGAAAATCAGGAAATTTGGATAATTCGATACCGAAAATCAAAGTAATTGGTAGTCATGGCTCACCGCAGTGTAGCAAATAGGGTATTTGTTATGTCATTGTTGAAAATACTGACGACCAACACCAAGCTTAAAATATGGTCAATTGGGTTATCAATTTAGTCTGTCTTTTACTTCATACTGTGATTTCTTTTACCTTCTACTCTTTCTAACGGGCATAGGCATTACATACAATGACAGATTTGATCAGGCCTATTGAAAATGATCAAGCAGACTTAAGATCCAAAGAGCTGAATTTAAGAGGTCTAAACGGTGATGCATTTCACGATACCAAACCAAGTGAGTCGAACTGGGAAGGCTGGAGTCACGATTCAAAATTCTCTACAAAAGGAAGGAAACCCCCAAGTCTGAACCTCAAAATATCTAACAGTATGAAGAAGAAAGGAATAACCTCCTATCCATCAGACCTATCAGAACCAGATTACCTTAAAAACGTAGCTACATTCAAGTTAACTCCTAGTGGATCCGAAGAGAGTTCAAATACTGATAGGCAGAGCAGCTTTGATGATTCAGAAAATAAAGTACGATATCGCCCTAAGAATGGAAGAAATTGTGTCTGTAAAGGAAGATACAAACCAGCGTCAACGGATAGCAGCATCTCGGAAGAAACTGATGGGAGTCTAACAAAGTCACAAAAAGCCGATATTCTTTGTGAACAATTAAGATTGGAACTTATGGAGAACTTTAACGATCAAATCAAGAAGACCGTGGAGCATGCTGTGGATAGAATCTTGGAACGAGCAGAAATTGGGCCCTCGGTTGTTGAACGGAATTTGATCAAGGCTAAGTAAGCTATTATTTTACTTTGTCTTTAAATAATATAGCGCTTTTTACATATGACGGACATTATTTTAAAGGTAATATTAATTCTCTTTATTTAAAACATAATAATTGTAAACAAGAACACCTAATTAATTAGAAATAAAATGCAATTATAATACTCAAAACAGGCTATACTTTCATGTTAAGTTTTTCTTAAGATTGTAGCGGATTGCTACTTTATTAAAGCCTGACTGACTCAGAAATCTCTATGGCAGATCCTCCTACATCTAGCTAGACTCCCAGAACCAGCTTAGCTATAGCTCAGCTATGAAAGGAAACAGACGTGTAGCACGGAGCACGTTTATTCAGTACGCATATTGCGGATAAAGTGTACACGCAGGGAGCTACTCATGATCAGGATGGGGGATTAGGTTAAACAGAGGTTAATGATTGGTCACTGTTTGTACGGTTGCTGCACACAGAGTTGTACGGCCGCACCACCCAATCCTGGCAAGCAGACATGCAGGCATACGATGACGCACACAGCGATAACGTGTCCCACAAGATGAAT